TGATATGCTAGATTATACATGTACATTTTAAAACACATTAAAAAATATTTGACGTTGTCAAGTCTCAAAGAGCTGTCAAATTTCCTCACAACATTGTATCTTTTGACTAATAAGTATTTGCTTGCAGAGGTTGGTGGCCTCATATATTTAATAGCACATTTGAAACCTTGAAACATTTATTATGTTTATCTCGTTTTGTGTTAAATAAATAAATAAATAAATATTTATTAATGGAATAACCCTTTAGTGTGCAATGTAAAAAAACAGAAGCGAATTAGAAGAAAATATTACAATAAAATAAAATTTTACAATAAAAGATCTACTAATATTAAGATCTACTTTTTCTATAAAATAATATTAACCCTCAAAGTGCTTCTGCGAGCGATCGGCTCGTAACCCCTATTCCAGCGAACACCAAGTAATACAATAGTTACATAACATCGATATTATAATTTCCTACTTAACAATGCAAATGTAATATAACATGGATGTTATGTTACATTTATCTTGTTGAGTGAGAAATCATAATATTCATGTTATGTAATTGTTACCTGGTATTTACTGGGATGTTAGAAAGTACAACTTTAACCATTTTTGTTTTTTGTATTTCATCGGCGACCGGGTCTGAAATTTTGCATACTGATAGATAAAACTTACAACTACGACATACTTAAATTTCAATTTTTTCCTACCTTTGGACGGATTATGCAAGAGCCACTTTAATAAACTTATTATTTGTTTATACATAAACATATATGTATATTAAATTTATGATATCAATAATAATTCAGTGGTAATCAGTAATAATGTTTTCTAAGGTACTCATATACGTAAAGTTTAAATAATTGTATATTATATATTTATTTATCAAACCCACAAATAAAGAACATGTGTGTTAGCTTTCGCTTTCTCTAACTAAAATCTTATTGTTAAGATATTATTTTCAGGGGTTGAATATAAGAGTTGTTTTTAAAACAAAAAATTCATGCGAGTTATCAAGCCTACTGTACCAAGTGTTCAATTTGAAGAAAAAAATTTGAAGTTTAATTTCGCGAGAAATCTTTATTTTTTCCGGGTCAATAAACAAGAGTCATTTTTTATTAATATTTTCAAAAATTATAAATGATTTATATCTATAAGTAGAAATAAATTGTTAACCTTTTTCCCATTTTGATAAAAATTAACTGTTAACCTTTGAGCCATTTTGATAAAAATTTTTCCCATTTTGATAAAAATTAACTGTTAACCTTTGAGCGATTTGTATTTTAATCAGAAATAAGAGTGGTTCTACGATTTTTATTTTTCCTCTCAAAAAATCAAAGTCATGGCATGAGTCCTTCTCCAAAAAAAAATAATTATCGATTTCAATCCCTGATAATTTTAGTTTGAAAAGTATTTGCTTCTGATGGTTTACCAAGGATTCTTTCATTTCGCCGGGACAGAAGAAAATAGCATGCCAGAAGGAGTAGTCTACCCCCGCGCGCAGGAATGCGAATCGAAATACCTGACAATTCGATTTCGACACGGACAATACGAACCGTCCGAAAGTTCAAAGAGAGATTGGATAGATTCGTCTTCGCGTTTGAATGTAATAATTGGAGCGTCTCGCTCAGAGACATTTCAAATGCGAAAATAATAGAGCAATCTTTAACGTATCGTTTCCGTAGAAAGATTTGAAAAATGTTTTCTATGTGTGTATTGAAGTGTAGCGTCGTTGACAATACTTTTTACCGATTAGGGCAGTATTGATAGCTTTTTTGGATATTACATTACTTAGATTGTGCTTTACTAATTTTATCGCGCAAATAACTGAAGCGATAATAACTGTTTTCACCATTTTGAATAAATTAACAATCGATACTTCTTTCTATCGTTTTAAAAGAAATTCGTAAGTTTATAAAAATAACGTTTTCAATTGAAATAAGCATTAATTTTACGTTCTATACAATTCCGATAATTCTTAAGTTTAACTAATAAATAAATTATGATTTGTATGAAAACTTAAAAGTACCTTGACGCATTAATATTTTCATATCAGTTACTGCAGATACTTTCATAGATAGAAATTGTTTATTTTCATTTTGCCGTTAATAATGCGCGGTTTGCGATAGTAATTTGTTATCGGTTTGCTGAAAATCGTGGCGCGAAGGGTATTAAAGTTATCCCCACAGTTCGCCCGATGCAAATCAAAGAGACTCGCTGGTTGTGCTTCTTCTTACTCTATTTTTCTGCTCCCTGCAATCGCCTTCGGTTCCTTTGAACTACGCATAAGATGGTACCGGAAAGTAAAATATTTCCGTCGTCGAGTTGACTGAATGAGGCTGTCGCTCGTTTGACGGAATCGACGCCAACGTTCACCCACCTCCGCTGTCTTTTTTCGATTTTCCTTTTCCTCCGCCGAGTACTCTAATCAGGACGCCGCTGCTCTCCTAGTGAATTTTGCATTTTCGCCGTTGGAAATGGCGGGACTCCGCCGAGAAAAGAACTCGGGCGAGAGAAAACCAACCCTGCTCTAACACCGTGAAATAACTGACGACGTAAGCTACTTCCCTCCGGTTTACTGGACTCACAATGGAAACCTGAGACTGAGGAAACCTGATGTTTATCACTTTCAGAACGCGAAAGCTTATTAAACGTTCCTCCACCTTCTTTATGTCCTCCAACCTCTCGCGCGCTCACATTTCATTGTGCGAACATCGGATTTTGCTTTAACTGAAATTGAACCCTGAGTATGAATCTTACGTAAATTCTGAATCTAAAAAGGATGCATCTTCAACCAATCGTCATTGTATCCCTTAGAAAACGCAAGTCTGATTATTTCTCGCGACGTGTACTTTTTCTTTTAGAACAATTTTTCATTCAAATATTTTACACAAATCACACAGTCTATTACATAAAATTGATAAAAATGCTCGTGAGATATACTCGCCTGAATATACGTACTAATTACAGTTGCGTTCGTAATTGCAAGTTTATCAGAATATTTTTAAGTAGAGCTAAAATAGCGATATTAAATGTGATGTTTAATTGAAGCTCGAAACTCCATCATGAGATGTATGGGTTTTAATTGAAATTCTTACTCTAATGAGAGGAGGGGGGGAGGGGGAGAACGAGAGAAAAGAGCGGATAGTTTTAGGTATGCGGTGGTCTTTAAATTGTGTCCTCTGTGCACCATTGCTGAAAGCCTTTGATCGAGGATGTCAAAGCCAACCTACGCCACCGTAAATTATTATCTAGTCATCAATATTTCATACGAAATCCGTAAAGGACTTCGAGAAATTCGACGCGTGGAAATAAATCCTGTCTGTTGATCGCGTTTTATTTCCTGTGGTTCTCAGAATTGCTAACACACGCTTGAATTTCGGTATACGGTCGATAAAATTTCAATACTGAACGTAATAATTGTGCAAATATCGCAAATTCTTTCAAATACACTCTTATCATTAGATACATATTTAAGGTACAAACAAAGTACAATTGTTTCCTGATGTCTGCGTCAGAAGAAAATTTCATTTTCGCTGGCTTTTATACTTTCCTTTGGGACATGCTTGCGCGTTTCGCTCGCCCGCAGCGACAGATTTATCGACTTTCTCACGAATGTTCTCTCTCGTTTGAAGCGTAAAGCGCCTCGCAGCCGCGGATATTTATTTTCCGTTCGCGAGTCCCTTCGAAAATAAAGGGAAACTCAGTGATGGGCGATGAGCAGGATTCCACCACATCCTATATTGAGTATAAACAAAACGCTTTCGGGAATGGAGGGACAAATCTAGTGGCAAATATTGAGAGGACGTGGAAACGAACGAAGAAGAGCGTAGTGTCACAAGGTGCGAGAGTTCGCGAATAACAAATATTGAGGAAGAGAAAGGGTTGCAAGGATTCATGAAACAACAAGCAGAAAGAGAGAGAAAGAGGGGAGGGAGAAGAGAGAGAGAGAGAGAGAGAGAGAGAGAAGAGAGAGAGAGAGAGAGAGAGAGAGAGAGAGAGAGAGAGAGAGAGAGAGAGAGAGAGAGAGAGAGAGAGAGAGAGAGAGAGAGAGAGAGAGAGAGAGAGAGAGAG